GAAATGTAATCAGTGAGCTTAAAATGGTCATGTGTGAAAAGTATGAGATCTTGATAATAAAACTAAATATTTTCTTTTATATTGAAAGATTAATTGAGTTCAAGTTCTGTATATATACATAACATCACAAAACAATATAACTCGGTAAGCGATCCCATCGACTAATACTGCTCATAAAAGCTTAGATCGATCACATGAACCATGATAATTCGGCCTGGTTATTTGAAAAATAGAACACTATGATGATAGCTTGAAAGAGCAAGAATGGCTTACAAGAGACGTGATTTTTCAGAAGAGTGACGATTTGTTAACGAGACAAGGTTGTTTTGATGTATGTTATTGATATTTGATAGATAATAACAGAAACTCATTTGATGAATACTTCTCTCCTGTCTTTATAAAATCCCATGATATTTAAAGAGAGACTACAACAAAAAAAAGAAACGGCGACCTGATTTTTGAACCGGTAAATCAGAGGCAAGCCGGATAATACATAAGACTCAAAACCAGCAACAAACCGACCTGCAAATTCTGATAAGCAAAACTCAAAAGCAGAGAGAGAGGCTTTTGCTACTCCAACTAGAAAATGTGTGGTCTTTGAGTCACTCTGCTTTCTTTTGGTGGAGGAAACCACATCAAGCTTCCACACTCACAAGCTCATACTCGATCAGCGAAAGATTGTTATCTTCCTTCACGGTGATGTCTGTGGGCTCTTCCACGACTTCAACACGGCCCCATCTATCAACTGCAAGCCTCATAGACCCCTTGTACATATCGATCTTCGCATTGCGAAGAGTCACTATACTGCCCTCTTTCATCAGATCCACTGATTACACAAAGTATAACATCAATCAGAAATCTCTAAATCATGAGTGAGAAATACCAAATCCTGCAAAGGAACTAACAACTAAAATCCGTGTTTTCACTATCTATATCTTCAAACTAACAACAAGATATAGCTTAAGTACAGCAATTCACTTTTCTGCTATGATTATTTCACATATTCACACGACCAGTACGGAATATAATACATGCCATTGAAGATGCTAACCGAGAACAGAGCAGCCTCGACAAAACACAGCACGCTAAGGAATTTCTTGTATGAATAGAATACATGTAATGTAAAATCGCAGAAAC